GGGCCCGCTCAGGCGGTGGCTGTGGAAGACGGGTGGTCCCGTCGGCTCAGGTGGGTTTCAATGCCCGGGCCGCGCTTTGCCGCCGTCTCCGGTCTTGGAGGCCTCGTTGGAGCTGCACTGAATAACGGTGGCGTCGCCGTCTGAGAGGGCTGAGGTGGTGGCGGCCAAGCTCGCCCCGCGCCGCTGGAGCTGCCCCCGGCCCGTCCAGGTCCGGCTCTCCGGGGGTGGTCGCGGTTTTGGCGGCTGTGCACTCTCGTCCGGCTGCCTTCGCTCCGGGGCTGGGGAGGGCCCTAAGGAACGGGAACAGGGCCAGTGGTCGTGTACAGCTGATGCGGTGTAGGGGAAGGAGGTGTCTCAGAACCTCCTGTGCGAGGGGTCACGGGGATTAGAGGGGGTGCAATAGAGACAGGAGCCGCGTTGTGAGGCCTCCTGCCAGCTCTATTGGAGAGTTTCCTCGAAGAGCATTGGGCAAGAAGGTCCTTTAAACGCGGCGAAGTGTCTTTTAACTTGGAAATAATGCTCTTGTAATGTTACATTATACCAAGTGAAGACTTCAGTATGTGCTACACCTGCATGCCCGAACAAGTACCTCTTCAAAAGGGGGCAATTTACCTTGTAACCAATCGTGAACCAGCACTTATATACAGTAGCTTTCTGTGAACACACTGCTCAGTGTAGACAAGCCCTCGGGAATCAAGACTCACTTCCTTCAGCAGTGAAATCTGGAATTGATGTGGTACTTTTAAGATTTCCGTGATGCTTTTCCTATTTTTCCTTTTGGAGCTGTTATCCAAATGTACAAGGAACAGCATTCTTTCAGTTTTTAATACAAAATATAGTTATCCTCTAGAAGAATACAAAGCAAGATGTAGAAGTGGAGGTAACTATCATTGTGTATCACATCATATGTATACTGTACAGCATTAGAACTTGCAGAAAATAATGTCTGGTTGTAAGTGAACTTAAGAAATTATTTAATGTCAGCTTATGAAAAACCCAAATAATTGTTTTAATTGCTGAATTCTTGGAAGTGTGTAGGCTTGGATATATGAGAAGCAAGTAAGTAATGTGCAATGACTGTTTAAAAAAATTTATTTTTGTGTATGGTCGGATAAGTAATTCAGGTGATGAGGGTGGTGCTTTTTGATTCCTCTTGTATTTTACTCATGTGTGATGTTTTCCTGCCCTGTGATAGGTTTTGCTGGATACACAAAATCAGTATTAGAAAAAAATGTCTCTTGACTTTGATAGTGGAGCTCTACAAACTCAACATGAAGATGAAGACTATGACCAAGAAGATTATGCAAGAGAACAAGAGGTGAAAAAGAATTAAGTAATTTAGTTACTTTTGAGTTTAGCTTCTTCCTATCTTTTAAGTGTTTAAAAAGAAAGAAAGAAAAAGGTTTATGTAGTCTGGTAAGAGCAAAAGAGGGTGCAGACTGTGCCACTCTTGAAAAGCATAAAAAGTAAAGCTCAGGTGTGTTTTAGTTGTGGTGGTATTTTTCTCTGTTTGTGTCCAGTTGCCTGGTCCAGAGAAGATCACTAATTATTTCAGTGATGACTTCTTGAACATAGTGATACTTACCGGCAAGTTCTTATGTGGATTTCCATCCAGACCTCTCAAGAGCATGTTTTGAATGTCCACTATTCTCTTGCCTGGAATTTAGAGAGGAGAATCCCTGGCATGATCAGTTTGCAGATCATGCTTTGAAATTAGTCTGTCCTGGGACATGTCAACTAGATGGCATTTCCCTTACCTCTTTCCAGTGCAGCTCTTTTCTTAACAAGAGTTTTGCAGAAAAATGCTTTGGTTGGTACTCTGGTCTAGTAAGCATTCTGTGGTATAAGTATCTTTGTGAATTTCAGTGTTGTGAATTCTTCCTTGGAGGAAGAAAACCAGGGTTTTGTGTGAGTGGCCTACTTTGCCAGGGTTTTTGGGTGGAACTTTTTTTAATTTTCCTGAAGAGCATATAATGAATGTCGTTTGTTTTATTTCAGTTGCAACAATTGTTGACAGACCTTCCCCATGATATGCTGGAGGACAGTGGAGACCAACTCTCCAGTTACTCAGACTGTAGCATTCAGGAGACTGAGGAACAGTAAGGCATTTGGCACCATCTTATTATTTATGTTGTGCTTTCAAGAATAGAGCAAAGTCTGAGTTGATGAGGTGTGTAAAGGCAATCCAAATAAAAGGGGAGCTGTGGTGCAATTTGCAGTAAACTAGATGTGCCTTAATTTAAGAAAAGATGATTTGTTTTTTCTCTGAAGTTATTGGTACACAGTTAAGCTGCTTGTGTCTCTCTAGGTCACATGAGCCTGGGAAGCTTGATGGAAGGTGGAATGATCATCCATTGATAAGTGATCCTCCAAATGTAAGCTTGTATGAGAAGGGCTGTAATTACTGCTTGTTCATAATTACATGCTAAATATTGTTTAAATTCATTAGAGAAGTACATGTAGGTGATGTGTTTTGGTATTCATTTGAAGTGTTTCTAGCTTGAGGGCTGGCAACTTCTGAAAAAGGAGGGTGGGGTGAAATCTCAGTTTTGAGAGAGCAATTCTAAACCTCATATTCATTCATAGGGCTATGAACAAGGACAAAATCTGTACCCTGAACAATTCTTGTGTGACCAGAAAACTGATCATGTTGAAAAACATGGGAAGAATTGGAATGGCCTACATAATGATGAAGAGAAGAAACATTTATATGATGTTAAAGAAGATTACTGTGGCCAGGATGGCCAAGATGATCCAGATGATGTGTATCTTGGTAGAGATGGGTTTAACTCTCCAAGTTGCTACCAAGAGAACAATGTATATCATCTTCCTGAAAACTTCAGGCCTTATACAAATGGCCATAAACCAGAATTTAACAATCAGCAAAATAAAATAATAACATTTTCAGATGATCCAAAGGAACATCTTAAGGTATTTTAAAAGCTGGCACATTTTTTGTCTCTTGGAAAATTTTCACAGGTCTTTAGCTATTGGCAGTAATATTTCTAGATGCCTTCAGTCTCTTACAGTCATTTCAGTTATGGGATATTTCTGTAGTCTATTAAAAAAATGAGATGTTAATAACTGAATTTTCATATGTTATGTTTTTTTTTCCTTCTCCTCTTGCCTTGGTAGAATTCCATGAGGTAAACTGAATGTGATTCACTTAAGTGTGTGCTTACTCTACTTGAAAGTGAAGTTAACACTTCACTACTTTTCTAAGGTGGAAGCTTTCATGAAAAATTCTGTCATGCTTAAATGGTGTGCTGGATTGGAGCCTGAAAATGATGAGTTGCTAGAATTCTTCTTAATATCAACCTGTAAAATGAAAAATATTTTCACTGAGCAAGACTACAGTTCTGGTTTTAATTTATTTCCTCTTATGTATATATTGTCACAACAGCAATTTGTTGCATCTGATGTTGTCAATGGCCAGTCACCAGAATCTTACAAAGTGACTTATAAACCATACCAAAATGGCATTCATCAAAATATTCCAGGAATCCAAGAAGGAAACAGAAGAAATGAAGTGTTTGAAGATTTGCAACATGAATTCTTGGGCAATGGTGAAAGTAAGTGTTTGGTGCTTAGACTTGAAATAAAATTGTATAAAAAGTTCACTGGAAATCAGTGATAGAAAATGTGTTGATTTCAGTAGTTTTTTTCAGTAAGAAGACAACTAAAACTATGTTGAACAAAGTATATACTCTTTTATATCTAGAAATTATCTCATTTTGCTCAGGGTATATGAGTTTTGGGCATTAAAAATGTAATTTTGACTGATGACACTGAAAAATTATTTCTGATGGTTTGATGTCAAATCTTGTTGACACTTTGTCACCTTCCATAATATTGGAAAATAAAGATTCACTATACCTTCGGAAGTGTACTCTGAGTGATGCCACATTGGGCTTTTCTGTTAGGTACACTTCAAATGACAGAACTACTTTGTTAGACATGTAAATTTGTAGTGACCACAAGTCTCTGAGTTCACAGCATGTAAACTTTTATCTTGGCTTGCTGTTAGGTTAGAATTGTAGTTTGCACAATCCTTCAGCCATTGCTGCCAGAGCAATTTGTGTGATGGGAATCAAATGTAGATTTAAAAAAAGATTTTGTGCACCAGCAATAAACTTAACAATATAAAAAAAAAAATCTGAGGAGGAATTACAGTGATGACTTTCTTGGTATCTGTGCTGACTTGTCTGCATGCTGTTTGAAATTTGGCAGATTCTTCAGAAAATATGCGGATTCTTCAACTTCAAGTTCTAAATAAAGCAAGGGAAAGGCAACTGGAAGAACTTAATGAAAAGCTAGAGAAGAGTGCACAGCAGATTAGGTATTTGAATCATCAGCTTTCAATGGTCAAAGGTAAAATGTTTTGTGCTAATTCTTAGATTTTATTCGTATCTAGCAACTTTTTAATTCTGAGATTGATTTAGAAAGTGTGTTTGAAGGTATTTATCATACTTACAAACTAGATTTGGGACTATATGCATCTAACCCTCTTCCCCCAAACATTGTTCTAAGTAAAAATCTCTGGATTTGTGCCTGACTGCATAACTTTTACTGTATTTTCAAGACCACTGTTGTTTTCCAGAGTCCCCATGTGTCAGGCATCACAAATGTATGGAAAAGTGAAAAGTTTGCCAAAGTAGTCTTTTAAAAGTCAGGGGGGAAAAAAAAAAAAAAGCTGACACCAAAACACCCAAACCCCAATAGGAGAAGTGGACATTTGTGTATAAATTGTGTGGGGTTTTTTGTTTGTTCTTTGTTTTTTTTTTTTTTTTTGTGCTGTTTCAACAGGCCATTTCATAGACTGTATGCAGAGAAAATCTCTTTCAAAAATTACAAAATCTGTGGTGGAGACTGATGATTGTCTTAGATTCCCACTTCTTATAGGAACAGACAAAAAACGTAATAAACTTAGAGAATTAAGATTAGAGTTTTTAGAATGCAAAAGAAGACAAGGAGAGAGAAAAGTTCAGCTGTCAACCATTTGGCTGTGTCTTGGCTGTTCCTCCAGAGGACTCTACCTTTCATGCTGTAAGGGAGGATGTGAGGTCCTCCTGCTTCCAGGATGGGTCTTGTGCCTTCAGGACCCTACTGGAAACAGTATATTGGAGTGCTCCCTGCTGCCAGGATCCTGGAGACAGTGGTTGCTGGATGGAGACTGAATGTTTTTGTTCAGTCTTCTGTTGTTGTCCACAGTATGAGACAGAGTGAATGGTTCTGTAGAGCAGGTTCTGAGCAGTTGTGTTGCATGAAGTGTTTGGGTAGCTGGTCATGGTTCTCACACAATTATCTCTTTCTTCAGATGAAAAGGATGGTTTGGCTCTTAGTCTTCATGAGTCTCAGAAACTCTATCAGAACGGAAAGGAACGGGAAATGCATCTTGAAGGTCAAATCAAGGCCCTTGAGACTCAAATTAAGACTCTTACTACCAATGAGGAGCAGGTACAGTAAATATTTATAGACTGTTTATTGTGGAAGACCTCTACAGTTAAATGTGTGGTGTATTTGCATTAAACAGAAGTGCTACACTCTGGAAATGCTGGTCATTATCATTGCAAAAGCTGAATATATGATGGATGAGGATAGGATTCATTGGTTGGAAATACTGTGTATGAAAACACAGGCATTATCTGAAGACTTGTGGCAATTCTTGCACAAAAGAAATTGAGCTGATGCACAGAATATTGGAGCAATATTGAAGTGAAATGTATATAACTAGGAACTAATGTAATACTGTTGCTACAGATACTGAAGCAATCCAAAGTGGCAGAGGTGGCCATGGAAAGCATGCAAAAGCAGCTGTTAGAACTTCAGCGATCAGATGCCCTCCAGCGAGCCAGAGAACAGCATGAGGGCATAATTTCTGCACTCAAGCAGAAGTATGAACAGCAAGTATTGTCATTAGAGCAGAAACTTGATACTACACAATCTGCGCTCCGAGAGCAGGTGAGAAATTATTTTAGGATGCTGAGTACTGTACTGGAGAGCTCCCGATGTTTCCCAAACTGCATTTCTTGACCTACAATTCTAATAACTCCTTCTGGAAGCTGCTAAGAAAATGGAAAGGAAAGCCTCAGCATTATGAGGCCTATGTGGTATGTTTTCATAAACATCTCCAGGCAGTTGAAAGTTCAAATTGTGAGTTTGTACACAGCAGAAGCAGAGGAGGCAGGAATTCATTGTCTTAGTTGCTCTCTTGAGCTTTCCTTCTGTGCACAATCTTTTTTTGAAAGACTTCTGCAAATAACTCTGGGAAAGAAAAGTACTAAATAAGAAAGAATGTGATATTCTTGCAAGGAAAAAACAAGAGACTTTTTATTGAACAGTCTGTTGCCACGATTTGGTCTCAAAATGCTGAAGGATGACTAACCACTCAACAGTGATTTTCTTTTAGAAGTAAGGATTTAAAAGTAGAGGAGGCTGTCTTTAAGATGGAGTTTGATATAGATTGTGTCACATGGTTGTAGAGCTTACTGAAATTATTCTACTTCATATGTCATAGGAATCCATTCCACTATTAGAAATATTCAAGCAATGTATTCCAGGCAGGTCTTAATAAATTTTCCTTTTATTTCACATAAAGAAAATAAGATTAAATTTCTGTAATTCTTGTCTCAACGTGTAGAGATACATGGGTTGTATACTTGAAAAGGTAACTGGTACTTGCTTCTAAAAAAAATGCACTGCTAAATTTTTGTCTGCTAGTACCACAAAAAAGCTTAAGCAACTTTGTCTCTACTGTAAAATATATGGTAGCATGGTTGGGGTATTTAAAGAGGGAGATCTGTTTTTTGAGAGAAGATAGAAAAGTCAAAAGGTGCGAATACAAGGTACTGTGCCTTCCAGGTCTGTGTAAGTAACTAAGTAATGCCATATAAATGTCTGCTTTGTATATCCTGTGAAAAAGATAAGTTCCTCTTTTACAGAGTATTGGCACTTGCTAGCTTGGCTTTAGCTCAGTTAAAATAAACTGTCTTAAGTTTTTTTTACTAAGCTGAGGCTTGATTTTTTTTTTCTGCAATAGACTAATTGTATGTGATTAATTACAGGAGATAATCTGATGTGCTGAAAAGTAACTACTCTAGGAAATATGAAATGATTATCATGCGTGTATGTTTATATATGAGTACAATTACTGCCTCCCAGTGAAAACTGAACTTCAATGCTGTAAAAGGTCACTTGTCAGCCTAGGATAGTGTATGATCTGTGATTGATTTAACTGTCCCCTACCCCTTTAAGTAACAGATTGATTATTTTTCTCCTTTATCCTGTATATATTTACTTTTTCTGTATCTGAAGTTGTTCTAGATTGTTAAATGTTTGTAAAATGAGTAAAAATACTCTCTTCCTAGAAAGAGCTTTGCAAAAATCTAGGAGAGCATGTTAAGCAACTTGAAAAATTGCTGGAAGAAACCAAATGTGAAAAAACTGAAATAATAAATCGACTGACAAGAAGCTTAGAAGAAAGCCAAAAGCAGTGTGCAAATTTACTGCAAACAGGTCAGCCTTTTACTCACGCTATTACCTTTCCTTGCAGAAATGTCTTCAGTTTTTCTAAATATGAAATTGCATATCGATGTTTCTATGGAAGTGGGATCAACATCAAGCTAATTGTGTTCTGGACTGTTTCCTATGCAGTGGATTAGTCAGACTTAAAGTTAAGTCTAGACTGAGATGTAAAAACCAAATAGAAATAAAAGCAAACAACATCTCCAAACCCCAAGCAACAATGATTAAAGTGTTTTCATATGTATTTTGTGCTGCATGTATGTAAATTTTGTTTCATAACAAATAACAAGGTTTGGATGCCAGTTACTTAATCTTGTACTAAGGTGGTCAACTTGACTTGCCTTTCTAAATTCAAGTCTTAGTGAGAAGAGTTGTTTTGGGAGGTGAAGGCTGATTCTTGGAAACCTGTATCATAGAAATAGATTGCGAAATGTTTTACAGTTGTTGTGTTTGACTTTTGCCTACCTTCACACATTGAAGTCTTTTGATAGTAATGCACTTAGTAGCTGTTAGTGAGCTGAATAGAAACAGTAATGTCTATTGCCAGAATCAACATTGCTATTTTTAACAGAGATCTTTCTTCAGATTGCATAGACTTCCTTGCATATTTATGACTTGCTTTTTCTTTCCTACAATAGGCTCAATGCAGGAGACAAATCACTTACGGTTTCAATTGCAACAAGCTCAGTCTGCACAGATGATAAGCAACAACATGAACAAGGCTTTGCAGGTTAATTTTATTGAATATTTCATGCCTGAATAAAACGTTTTCATTTGATTGGGGGGGCATTATAACTTAGATGCTGGTGGTTGAAATGTTCTAAATTTTGGGGGGAAAGAAGTACATCATCTTTGACTACTTTCTCTTCCAATGTTGCATGTTGGACTTCCTCCCTCCCCACCAGTTAAAACACAGTAGGGCAGTTGTACTAGCACAAATCTGATCTCATACTTCTGTCCAACCTGCTTTTGGAAAAAAAATCAATGTAAATTCAGTGTTCTGGGAGTCTTGTCACTTAATGAGGAGGTATATTCTGAAATTTATCTTTTGTCAGCAAAAGGGAATGCTGGAAAGTCCTCTGTAAAGCATGAGTGAAAGTCTGTGTTTCCAATTCAGTTCATATATTTGATTTAAATCTGTTATCTTGGAAACTATGAGTCCTACTAAGTACTAGAGTAATAGCTGTTTCTCCAGGTATGTACTTTTCTGTTGTCAACCATTTTGCTATCTATACAAGGACAGCTGGAATGCAGAAGAGCAAAAGAAATAATACTTCATAGATGGACTGTAACAAGAACAACAGAGAACATTTCTTGCATATTTTAATGAATGTGTGGTTTTAATATATGCTTTGCTAGAGGTATCAGAAATTAAAAATGAAAGTATAAGTAAGTAAATGCTAGACAATTCAATTAAATACAGCTAAATATAACTATATTTAGAAGGAAGAACTCCATGTATTTGTTTTCTTTGGAAGAGTTAATCATGGGCCTGATGTGCTGGCTTGGAGTCTCTCTGATCAGTGTAATTTTTTTTCCTGTCTCTTCCTTTCAGGAAGAATTAATGGAACTGAAAGAAGAAATAGCTTTGTATGAATCTGCTGCCAAGCTTGGAGTATTTTTGAATGATCCAGGTGGAGATCGACACATGAGCCTGGGTGATTCCTATGTAGAACTGGGAATTAAAAAAATCACAGGGAAGGAGCCAAAATTCTGCAGGTATTGAGTGATTATTTTTGAAAGAAAAATTTTAAATCCTCTAGGAATTATGCAAATTATGTATAAAAGGACAGTTCTACTGGATCAACACATAGGTTTTTGATAGATATTTGAAATACTGCTTGTATTGCCAGGTAGTCTGAGAAACAGAAAAACTGTATTAATACCATAAATTGGTTGCCTAATTGCTGCTTTATAGGTCTTCAGATTTTATAGGGCCTGTATTACTGTTCCTTCAATTGTATCAGTTATATTCATGGATACTTTTTTTGCTCAAAGACTCCACATAGTTGCTTGAAGCTAAAGCTGTCTGTTGCACCAACCAGTTGAGTTGTTTCCAAACTCTTCACATTGTGTGAGAATGAATCTTTTGAGGAAACAACTGAATTAACAAGTTCTCTGTAAATTAATTGCAACTTGATGAAAAAGCTTTGATATTTATATCCTCTTATGCTTTTTACTATTACATCTTGTACATCCTGGTATTTCTGGTAGTATTAGTTGCTCTTCTCTTTGCTACCACTGCCTTTTAGATAAATATGTTTTGTCTTTTAAATACTGAACTGGTTATGTCTTTCCTGATAGTGCAATACAGAAGAGAGACATGGATAAAGAGCTCTCTAAAGATGAAATTATTGTAGAATTAAAAGCTGAGCTGGAACGTTTATTGAGCAGTAATAAAATGAAGAGAAACCAAATTACTCAACTACAGAATAATCTTAAAGATTGTCAGAAGACACTAGAGGAATACAAGCAGTTGACAGCAGAAAAAGCATCAAGAGATTCAGAGGTTTGTTCTTTTACACTTTTAAAAAAGTCAAGTATTCCTGGTTTTGGTGAACAAAACCAACATTTAAGCTTCTTATGAGAACAGATCAAAAATTTATGTGTAGCTGAATATTCATAGCAACTCTGGTTTTGTATCTTTGGTTGAACAGAAAACAGCTGAATAGCAGAACCTGGGCAGCATATGCATTATTAAGTGAGTCCTAAAATGATGACTTACATGCTTGAGAGTGATTAGTGTCTGTCCTACTTTTGTTAGAAGTAAATTTCACTGGAAAAAGATGGTTTTCTTTAGCCAAATGGACCTTGTAATTTCTCTAAGAGGGCTGATAGTACCATTAGATTATGCAAACAGAACATTTAACAGATTGCCTTAAGAGGGCATTCACGATGTAGTTTGATCAACAAGGAATCTCCTTGATATTGCATCTCTCTTCCATTATTGCCTTCCCTCTATAGATTGATCATATTTGCAGTATCTGTACATGGTGACCTGGATGTGGGATAGGAATACAATGTATTTGAGAAGTGTGCTCTCAGTTGGATGACTGTTTTCATTCAGCTTGCAAACACAACACTGTGTGCTTCTTTAGATCTTCATGATACTGAGTTTTAAGAATTTGTCTAGAATAGCAGTGATATTGTAATCTTGCAGTGCAATAATTTCTTGGGTTTTTATTTTTTTAAGTATAATTTTTATTCAACAACTCTTAACATTTTTAAGCATTAACTGCTAAATCATTTATATCTTGAAAGATATAATCTTAATTTTATCTATTTTTAGCCTGTCACAAATTTGAAGGATGCTTCTGATAATCTGAAGGAAGAAGTTCTGAGACTCAAAAACACTAACAAAGCTTTGCTACAGGAAATTGAGGTAAGACAGAGGTGCTGCTTACTACTACAGGAAAAAAAAATCACAAAAACCCCCACCCTGTGCTAAAAACCTGTGATTAGAAAAGATTCTTACAACCCCGTGTTACTTGACCCTTTTGTCCAGGCACATAAATCAACTATTGAAGAACTGAAGGAAAATGAGGAAAAACTGAAAAGCTTAAATCAAGACCTCTGTTGTCAGATGAGAAAGATGGTTCAGGATTTTGATCAAGATAAGCAAGAGGCCATTGACAGGTAAGCCTCTTAACTTAGTTTAGTTTAATTGGAGGATTTTCACCCTGCACACAGCTTGTTCCAGCTATCAGGTACAAGAGGAGGTTAACGTTAGAAAGCTATTTTCTTACAGAAAAGTTGAACCTAGATAGTTGAAATCAGGTAATTATTTTTTTCCTTTCTTGAAATTGTAGGTGTGAAAGAACTTACCAGCAACACCATGAGGACACCAAAGCACATTTTGAGAAAGATCTGATGGAGAGGTTTGCTTTGGAAAAGCAGCGGCTTCTTCAAACTTCTGAAGAGACAATCTCACAGTTAAAGTAAGACATCATTATTTCCATTTTTACTGAAACTTTCATGTTTCCTGTCTGACCTTCACTGCTAGTTACACTTCAAAGATGGCTTGCTGTCCTGTGAGGCCAGTTGATTATAACTTATCTGTCCTTTGAAGGGGTAATATAGAGGAGCTGAACAAAGAGATTACCGCAGTGAAGGAATGTTACATTGGAGTTTGTCGGGAGAAGGACACCTTGGAAACTACTTTAAGACAGAAATTTCAACAAGAGCAGCAGCTGAAGGAAGAGAAGGTACTAATGGAAATGCCTATAAACCATATAAGTTCACACTGTTTTCAAAATGTAATATTAATAAGTGTGTTTAATTTTTTAAATGTTTGCAGAACCTACTTTGAAGAGATGCAGTTGTATCAGAAAGTTCATATGTATGACTTACTGGTTTTTAAATTAAGCTGGTGTTGTGTCCTGGGCTTTAAAATATTGTAGTAGTAACTCTTTCCAATAGCTGTTTGTTTTCATGGAGTGAACTTCCATAATTCTGCTTCTGAGGATGCTTAGTCAGCAGTATGAGATTTTACATTTACAGGACATTTTCAAATAATCGTGAATGATGATACAAGTGTACTTCTCCCTATACAAAACTGATCTAAAAAATACTGTGTTTTTTTTAATTAGTAATGAATTCAGACTGATTTGATTAAAAACTTTGCTTTTCTGACTTTATCACTGTGCAATGACAGAAGTAGATCAACTGTCTGGATAAGCAAGTGCAGTAAAGAGGTGCAGCTCAAAGTATGAGAGGAGTAAAGATGCTTATAGCCTATAATAACTTATGAGATACCATCTTAAAACACCATATTTGAGAGCTGAATCTCTTGTCTAGGTGTCATCAGTAAGATCAGTAAGTGCACAGCCTCTAGAGAGTTAATCACATCCCATGCATTCTCATTGCTTTGTACCAGAGCAGTAGTTGTGCCTTGGAGAGAACTTCATTTATTTATTTTTGGTCTAGCTCAAGAAACAGCTACTAGAAGAAAAAGAAGTCTCCCTTAAACTTCTGAGGACTGAGCTTGAAGAGGAACATGGAAGGTCTATGACAGCAGCAAAGAAGCAGTGGCTGGAAGAAAAAGACCAGCAGGTTCAAGAGGAAGTTGCATTAGCCAAAGTTCACTGGGAAAAGGAAGAAAAAGAGGTGTGAAACTTAGATCAGGGAATTAAAATTTTTGTTTTGTTGTTGTTGTTTTGCTGTTTATTTTCAGAAACAGAACTTTAGATTTATGTGCTGTTGTTCTGCCATTGGAAGTGTCTGTTAAGGATCTCTCATTTTAAACTCCTCTGAGGAACTCATTAGGTATTACACGTTTCATATTTTTAAAGAAACCCAAAACTTAGATCTTGCAAAGTAACAATGTCACAACAGTTGGTAATAAGCTGGAAAGTTATGCTTTCTGTTGTTTCACTCAGGTATCATGTAGAAATCCTTTGTGTATCCTACCCCATAGAAAAAACCTCTGATGAGTCACTATACTCTCTCCTCTCTGTGCATGGTTTTGTTCTTCTCCTGTTAAGGATGATCATTGGTGCGAACAGTGTTTCATTTGCTAAACACCAGTGAAATCTATTTATTTAGACACTGGGGAGATTTTTTTAAAAAAATATTTTTTTCCTTAGAATAAAGAACAAGTCTTTGCCAAATTAGAAAGAGAATGGCAAAGTGGGTTGGAAGAAAAGAGAACTGTAGTTGAATGTAATGACTGCAGCTGCCAAACTGACCAAGTTACAGCTGTGGATAAAGTTTCAACTAAAGAGTTAGGACTGTTGAAGGCCAGAGGCTGCAGATACAGAAGCCTCTGAAAAGGCCTTAAAAGAATTTGAATTAGAACCAGAAAAGAAATACTGAAAAAATCTTGCCAGCCAGGTAACAAATAATTGTTCTGTCTGCCTGGAGTCTGTGAAACTGCTGTGTCCAATTAAGTCACCTTAAAAAAAGACAATGGACTCCTTCACGAACTTCTTAAGTTTAGTATTGATATTTGCTGTATTAGAAATAGAGTTCTTAAAAAAAAAACAAATTTTGTTAAAAATAAATTCAGTATTTTAAATTTTGGCATAATTTTTGCATGAAGAAATGCATGGAGTGCTGCTGGTCTGATTCTTTTGATTTCTGTAAATGTAGGCAATCCAAACTGAAGTCTGTTCTTGCACTGTTACATGAAAGTAATAATAAAAATGTACTCAGTGTACCTATCTACTGAAGCAGATTTTTTATGTTTGAAGGTAGATACAGCTTTAACCCAAGCTCATGCCAAGTGGCTGCAAGAGTACAAACTGAATCTAAAGGTAGAACAAGAAAAATGGGAAAAGGAACATCAAAAGACTACAGCAAAGCAGGTAGCCCGAAATACTACTAGATATGTGTTGATAAACAGTTGTCTTCCAAATCCCATATGTTACTGAGAAATTAATGTAGGCATAGGCACAGGGAGTCACTAAGGAAAGATGTTTCTTGTGTAGTCTGCCCCACATCCATTTTTTTTGCCTATATATGTTTAATTTTTAATTAAATAAATTGAAAAGATCTCCAGTAGATTTATAATGAGTCAGAGTTACATTTTGTGTATATATGAACGTGTGTGTGTATCTCTAATGACTGTGTTATATATTTGCCAGTTAGCCCTGGTTCTGTCAGCTGCTGAGGAGAAATGGAAGAAAGAATATGAAAGTACAGAGAGATCTGGACTAAGAGTTAAAGAACTTGAAGAAAAGATAATTTCTCTGAGGAGGGAATTGGAGCTAAAGAAAGAGGAAATCCCTGTAGCTGTCAAAGCAGAACTAGCAAAAGCCCGTGTGCAGTGGAACAAAGAAAAGCAAGAAGAAATTCAACAGATACAAGAGCAAAATGAGAGAGACTACCAATCATTCTTAGATGATCATAGAAACAGAATTAAAGAGGTCCTTGCAACAGCAAAGGAGGACCTTGTAAAGCAGAAGAATGACCTCTCCATTCAGAAAGAAGCAGAAATAAAGATGTTACTGGACCAAAAGCAGAGAGAATGGGAGGTTCAGGAAACCAAGAGACTGCAGGATGAAATTTATCGGTATGAGGAGAAGACTCTGGTTGAGCTGGAGTATTTGTTGAGTGAAATTCATGAAGAGCTAGTCAAGTGTGCACAGAGCAAACATTCTTGGAAGGAGAAGTGTTTTGACTCTCATGTTCAATTAACCAGTCAAGACAAAGACAAACTGAAGGCTTGTTTACAAAAAGCCTATAGAACCACAGTCTGCACAATCCTGGAAAAGAAAGAGCAAGAATGGAAAGAGGTAATAATTCTGTAAATTAAAACTACCAATCAGACAAGGGATTTGAGAAGTCAGGCCCTTTTTGTGTTCAACATTTGTGTTCATTGGTAAGTGTACTCTAAAACTAAAAGGAGGCTAAATCTACCATTAGCAAGTGAAAACAGAAAGGATGTAGCTTTGACATCTTCAGTCTTTAAAGAGAAACTCAGGTTAGGAATGTCATTTATGCAAAGACTTGTAAATTAAGGAGATAAATCCACCTGTTTAAGGTTGGGAGTCTGTTGAAGGCTCCTTGTAATCTTTTAGCTGGGCTGTAATGACAGAACCCACCTCAGATTTTTGCATACCTTCAAAATCCAGTTTGCAGTGGTGATTGGATACTGCTTGTGGATCATGTTATGCTTTTTTTCCCTGCCTCTTTATACAAATAAAGATGAAAACAGTAAATCCTTTTTGCAAATTGCCTGCAGTAAGTCAGTTTGTCAGTCAGTTCTGTCTTGGGAATAAGAATCCTGCCTATTTTATTGTTCCTCTAGGACATCTTTTTCAGTGTGCCTACCCAAAGAGGAAAGATGTCTTACCCTCTTCTAGAGGAGTTGGGACTAAGTCAAATTGTGTCTCAAAGCCTTTGTTTCTGTTGTTTTAGCAGATTCCTCTTCTTGCAGTGCTTATGCTCGTAATAAGTTTTTTGTTGTGGGGAGCATCCCACCAGAAGTGCCATTGCCACCCAGCATTTAGTAGCTGGGGAATTATCCAAGAATAGGACAGAGAAAACGTCTTGTTTTTCAAGAGAAGATGGGATGTTACCATTTCTTTATTGTCGGTATATTTCTGTTCAGCCAGTGGGCCTTAAATGTTTTCATGTGACAAGTCATATCCACAATGGTAAAGAGAATCAGGAGCTTTTTTCCTGTGCCTTATGCACCTTCTGCAGTGGAAATGAAATGTCTCTTGGTAAGCTGTCTAATGTGCCTTTGAATCTTAAAACATTGGTTGGCTTGAACCACCTTATCTAGTGAAGTCTTTTTAATTTCCTAGTAGTGTCTTTTCTCTTTTAAAAGCAAGTTATGTTCAGTTATTCAAAGACAGGGTATAGTTCTGCAATGTTAAGGGCTACTGACACTTCCAGATAGTATTCAAGATATTCATGCCCTGCTGTTGCAATGACTTATGCTAAATAAAACTTCTATATCATAGAATAGATGTTTTCTTCACAATTTGATTTGTAATCTGTGGTTCTACTACAAGTTTAAAGTACCTGTGTTAAAATTACTAAAGTTACTTGGTGGCCAGGGCTGGTTGTGGTGTGGAACACTTTTTTTGCTGTGTTGGGTTTTCAGGAAGTGTTTTTCAATTGCAGAAATATGAAGAGCTAGTGAGTAATGCAAATAAAGAATCATACCCCTACCCACAACATGGTGCAGGAAACACTGGGGATGTGGCAAGACCCCCTGTATGCAATGTTGGACACCAAGCAGAAGCACAAAGGAGACTGAGAAGACAGCCAGCCATGCAGGAAGCTGGAACAGACAAAGGTATTTGGTTTGATCTTAATCTGACGGATTGCATATCATCAAATTAAGCTTGTTAGTAGCAGTCTTTAATAGTCAATGTCCTATTAGTGACCCCAAATGCAAAGTTAGTTGATTAGTATATATTTGGGTGATAGAGGAAGATACAGTTCTTTTGATTGTAAGGTTGTTTAATATTGCATAAGCTAAGTTAAAATCACAAACTACAACAAATGGTACTGGTCTCCAGGTTGCTAGGCTTTGAGGTTTCATTTTATCAATTGCTAGTAGCTTTCTGCTTTTGAAAGCCATACTTCAGGTATAAAGAAATGGATGTCTCATCTGCTAGCAGTGTGTGTATTCTTTGGGAGTTGTTAGCAGTAAAACCTTTGGAGTATATAACAGTTCATATGCAAGGCAGTGTTAGCCATGATATGCAGGGCATGATCTAAACTATGTTTTATAAATGGGTAATACTAGACTGGAGCTTCAAAGATTGAATTATACTGCTTGTTCATGGCATTACACAAGACAAGGAATTCTGCATTCATGTAAAAGATACTATTGTGTCAAGAACTTGCTTGACCTGGCATGGTGGTCTTCTCTGGTTCTTTTGGTCAAGAATGTAGTTGAAAAAAGTGTGAATCCCTGGGTGGTGTTTCTTTCTTTTTTTTTTTCATTTTTTTCCCCTTCTTCTCTTTCTCCCCACTCCCTGTGCCTAGTAGGTACTTTAGCATTGTAAATTGGTAGAATTGCTCTTCTCAAGGCTGTCACGTGTACTGTGGCAAAACTGGAGACAGTGTAGATGAGAAAAACTTCATGGGAGGGACAGATGTCCCTGGGGCTTTCTGTTTAGTTTGAGTTCTTACGCAACTGAAAAACATAAAGCAGCAAAAGCCAAGAGAGTTTTTGGCTCTGTGCCTGTAGTGTGGCTTGAATTCCTTCAACACCAACATAACAAACAGCCTGTTAACACAGAACAATACCAGCACTGCAGCGCTCCTGTCTCTAGAGCGCCCTGGCCTGGCTGTGGGGAGCAGCCATTGCTGTCCTGGAAGGAGCCCAGTCTTTGTGTATCCCTTAACCAGGCTCAGACATGTGTGAGGCTTTCCAGCTGGGACAGTTTCCTTCAGCTGACTTCAAAAGACCCTGCTTGGCTGTTTGGGTTTTTTTAAAAAATAATACTAAAAAAAAATTCAAAGTGTTTAACCTGCAAGTCTTTTTGCTGACTGAAGAACTCAGATCATTGCTGATGGAAGTGCATTGAGGCTGTGAAGGCTGTATGAGTTGATAGATGCTGCTGCACCTTCTGGAACAGGGTACCAGCCTCTCGTGATTAGTTTAATTGGGCCAAAATATTACACACTTTCCAGTGAGAAGAGGACTAAATAGAACACTGAAAATAGGTTGGGCTTGATTCTTTTTTTTTTGGTCCCTTGTTGATGTATAACTTTTAGCAGTTACTGTTGCAAGTCAGAAATGTACAAAAAGGAACCTTGGGTCTCAGGAACATTTGTGCTGCAAACTCTGCTGCTGAAAAAAGAGAGGCTGTGTGGCAGGACTTGAAAAGAGAGCTGGAGATGGCCCACAAACATCTTCAGCTTGCTGTGAAGGATCATGAAGCTAAGTCAGAGCAAATCCAAGGTTAGGATTGTTAGTCACCTTAACATCTTTGATTCTCTCATCTTTTGGATCTTTTAATTTTCAGTGGATACTGGGGTTTTGGTTATTAACCTCAAAATAAACAAAAAAAACCCCTCACCACAAACCAACAAAACCAACCAAGCTGTATCTTGCATCTTTCTATCTCAAAGGCACAATTGCTAACCCACAAATTAATAATTCTTTTTCACAGTTTGTCAAAACCACTTGTTTTTTTATCCTGTTCTTTCTCTCCAGGTATACTTGATATCTCAGTTTAGTATTAGTAATGGCATATGAAGACTTTAAGCTTATTTAATTACTGTATGAGATGATTTTTATATTCAGACTTCACTGAAGTATGTTGGGATCAATTCCTATCTGCTTGTTATTGCAACAGCTGTACTGCAACTAGTGATGCTTTGGGACATTGAGCTCTTGTACCAGAGACAGCAGTTATTACATAAGCATTTCTTGAACCTGAATTTAGAGAAATGCAGTGAATATTTTTTTCGTCTTTTTTAATAGAAAATGAGATGGTTCCAGGGCCTCTAATTGCAGAAAACTCTGAGATGAAGACTAAACTGAAAGACCAGGGATCACCACCAAGGTATTTAAAACTAAATATGATGATTTCTTATTTTGGGAAGATATAAGTTGCTTTTTTGTGCAGTGTGATGTGTATGCATTTCAGGTCACTGGGAGGTATCTCAAAACCTTGTGCATCCTCTGACTCTGTGAAAGGTCTGGAAGAAATGCGTGCTCACTATATTAAAGCTTTGAGCAAGATTAAGTGTAAGTATTAAAATCTTAGCTAAAAATTTAGTGGAGGAAAATAAATTACTTTGTTGCTTCTTCCTTCAGCCAGCTTGGACAGGAATCTGACAACTAAATTACATAAGAAGTAAATTTTTCCATCTTACTGGAATGACTGTGAGAAATGGAATTGTCACCCTAAATTCAATGTATAATTGTGATGGGCAAAACCGTTTTACCATCCTTGTTTTGTTGTACTGCAGTATGTCTTTTAAAGTGGTAAAGTGTATTTTGAGAACTAATCTTGTTTCTCCAGGAAAAAACCTACCTAGCCTGCAGCTTGTCCTGAGAGAAAATATGCTTTTCTCTTGTGCTTTATCCTGTCTTCTGGCTTAGTCAGCAACCTTCTGGCTGAGGAGAAAGGATTAAGTGTAGCACCAGGTCTTACCTGAGTGCATCAGGTCCCCAAATTCCAGCTGCATGGCCATTGAAAAGTTTCTAGACCCATATTTTACCAGCCAACATTCCTCCCAAATCCCTGTACCTGCTTAAGATGCAGAATCAGACGACTGAATTCTTTTCTGATGCTTCATATTGACCTGCTGTGGTTTGCCCTGGCATTCATCCAGTAGGCAACAACTGGCATGAAGATTTGGTGGAATGTTGGCAGGTAAATCCATATCCTTGCTTACTTGTTCTAGGTCTGGTAGACAATCCCAGTTTGTAGTGTTGGCTTTTTCCTCACTCTAGGGGAAAACTGGTACTAATGAAGTGTGTTTGTAGGTGATATGCTTTGTTATATCCGTGAAAGTAAGGAACGAGCTGCTGAAATGATTAAAGTGGAAGTTTTAAGAGAGCGCCAAGAGACAGCACGGAAAATGCGCAAATACTACTTGACATGCCTTCAGCAACTGCTCACTGATAATGGCAAACATGAAGGGTAAGTTCAAGTATGTTTGGAAATGACTGTTGGCTGTGCAAGAGGTGTGTACATGTTAGTCTGGTGTTTGTCCACCTTGGAGCAACAGCCTGGCCTGAAGTCTTGCCAGGGTGCGTGTATTGGTGCCAGGTCACTGCTGAGCTGCCTGGCACACTGTCCTTTCAGTATTCTCTGACTCTAAGTAACGTTGCCTTGAAGTAAAATGTAGAGTTGAGTTGCCCTTAAACTTGTTTTTGTTTTTCTTTTTTTTTTTTACCCCATGTTCTGCAATTCTTGACAGAGCTGAAAAGAAAATAATAGATGCTGCCAGTAAACTTGCTACAATGGCTAAAGGACTGGAAACGCCTCTTCGACACATTCCCCAGCGCAAATCTGCCCGCCCAGGTGTGCTGGATTCTGTGGTCCTTCTGTTCTTGATCATATTGATTTAATGCATGTAGTAATGAAAATGCTTTTCTTCCAGTATTAACATTATCTTCAATTATCTATCTCTTTCCCTCCTCTCCTAGCTCTATGTTTAAATTCTGATCCTGGAGGTGAGTGCTCCAAAAGAGATTATGTGCTTCGAACTAGGTCACGCCATGTGGAAAGCAAATCATGTAGTGAAAGCAGTACTGAAAAAGCCACTGATAAAGTTGTCCAAAAGTGTGTTCCACGTGACTTGAGACAGCAGTTTGATGCAACACAGACCAAAACACAACACGTGCTTCATGAAACAGTGACTTCAGATATTCAGAACAGGAATAATTCTCAAAATCTCGATGGTACTTCTAGGGGTGTTCTACCAGAATGTTATCCAAATGAAGATGGAAGAAGAGAAAAATATGGCTCCGTTGCAAATATAGACAAAGGACCTTTGTGTGCTGTGAGTAATGGCATTGCTCCTCCCTCTGCTGGTCGGGGAACACTACAAAATATGCGGGTACCCAGTGTTACAAATGGCTACACCAGCTCTGGGCCAACTCATCATATGCTTAAGAGCAAGAATGGAAGAAGGGGCTTGAAAGAGGATAAAGGTATCCAATCGTGTGGAAAATGGAAAACTAAGTCTAAGAGAACTCAGGAATTTGATTTTAAAGACGCTCCAGAAAGAGATGAAGGAAGCAGCAGTGAATGGAGTTCTGGGAATGGAAGCTTGCATCTGGATTGTGGTGAAATGCCTCTCTTGTATTCTCAACAAAAAGCCAATACTGATGTTCAAGCACAGACTGTGTACTGTGGAGAGTTTTCTCACATCAGGTCACTTTCCCCTGCAGATGAAAATGTTACTTCTTGGAGAGACATTTCTAGTGGCAGTGGCAAGATTCTCAGTACAAAAAGCAGCACAAAAGTTTACAATAGAGGCCAGCAGATAGCAAACCCAGAGCGTACTTCATTCCTCAGCTCTTGACAAATTAAATTCAGCTGTCTCACAACTCAATGCAACATCAAATTCAAGTGTAGGAAAATGCTGCAACAAATCTTTGTAGAAAAATGGTGTAGAATCTCCAGTCTCAGCAAGATAGTGGTTTTTAACTAGCCACTCTCTAACTTGAACCAATACCAGCAGTGCTTGTTTGAAGGAAAAAAATAACTTGATGTTTAAATAAAAGTGTGATGATTGAGGAAAATCTCTTCTACTGTGTCCATTTCATGATCAATGTTACACAAACAATTTTTATCCAATTACTTGAAATATTACTGTGGACTTTTGTTTACTTTTGTAATAACACTTCCACAAATGTTTATGTTGCACTAGATACAAATTTATTAAATAGGTTCTATTTTTATATTCAATTTAGTGTGCAGTGTTTATTTAAAACCAAGCTACTGTAACTTGTCATTTTTTAAATGGTTATCAAAATTATTTCAGAGTGTAATGAGAGATGTTTTGGGGTTTGTTTGAAGTTAGTATTTTAATTGACTTTGCCATTTTGAAGGACCTCCTGTAACCTTCTGTTTGTGTTCCCACAACAAAAGCAAATATGCTTGCGTTTTTTCATTAAATTATCATAACAAATCATGTTTTAATTATTCTTCTCTTTGATACAGCAAAAAGTAGCTCATACTGTGTGTAAGAAAGGTATCAATTAGAATGACTTTATTCTGTAGGTGTTTCTTAATTAGTATAGGTTATCAGTGTAAACTGAAGATGTAGTAATTTTCCCTCCTGATGCTTAGAAATCTCCTATTTTAAAGGCCTGCTCACATTTTAAAGAGAATTGCAAAATGTATCTTTTTTCCTAGACTTTTTCCTTTCCTTGTGATGGCATTTCATTTCCCATGATCCTGTGATGAGCAAAGGATTTTGCTGCTGGTTTGCACCGGGGGTGATTAAATCACTTGTTGCAATTAATAGTTATGGGCCAGGAATTCATAGCCACAGTAATATGGGAATTCTAAGCAAAAAGGTTTTGCTTGCTATTATTTTGTGATATTAGAAGAAGAAAGTCTGACTGTTCTCTCAAGGATGTTCTGCATGCCTTTCATATGTAACATTTAACTGCTTATTTGTTATGGTTGCTTATTTGGTCCTTTGGAGTTGAACATCACGGTTCAGTTTGAGAATCTTTTAAGTTTTCAGAGGAAAACAGTACATAATCTGAAGACAAATGTGTTTAACTTCCTTTACAAAAATGTCCTGCATTATATTCCAGGACAATTGGCCAGGCAGAATGCATTTCAGCTCTTGGTACACAGGCCTGGGTTGTGACTTGAGACTCTCACAGACACGCTAACGAGAGACTTCTGAATTTCCTGGTGGCTTTCATGTTGCCCATAAATCCAACCCCACTTCCTCTTTAGTGAGGTGGGGTTTGTCATCATCAGTGGGAGCAAACAGGCCATGAGAGACCACTGGTGCCTAAACAAACATGGGCTGTGGTTAAGTTCAAGGGCCAAATTCCGAGCTCTTAGCTGAGGAAATAGCTGTGGCCTTGTCTGCAAAGGAACGTTTTTACTAGTTGTCCTCTAAGCCCCAAGTGGAGGCTTTTTTCTTTTTTTTTTTTTCCAGTGATGAGTGGCTGTTTCTGGTTAGCTTAAACATTTTCCTGAATTCCACAAGGTAAAAAAGAAGCACATTTAATCCTGCATAAGAGGTACTTTTACAAGTGTTTAAGCCAATACATCAGATTGATTCAATCCTTGGGAAAGTTCAGAAGCTGACGCAGCTTACAGATTTGATCTGTAAAAGTAAACATCCAGCTATCCTGTAGGATATCCATGACCACGCAGACAGCAGCTGAGGGCCCATCATCTCATTGCTGTGGACCAAATGGAACTTTTCCAAATATTCCATCTGAGGTGGGTTCAAGAGCTTCTGTTCTCTGTAGTTGCTCACAAATGTCACACTTAGTGGCAACATGCAAACTGCTTTTAAAATTCTAAAATGTAACTTTTTGCAATGCATTTTATTTCTGTTGCCTTGTTCATTGTGTAAAAGCATTTCCATGGCTTTTAACAAATTCCCCGTGTTTAAAAGTTCAGTGGTTTCAGTGTAGAGTGAAGTATTTACTGATCCTACATATTTAATTTAGGAGCTGGAGTCACACCGATGAGGGCAGACCTTCCAGTTGACTGCTCTCATCTTGCTGTTTCAGTTGTGTCATATTAGGCAGCTTCAGGGACCAAAACTGAAATGTATATGAGAATGTGAAGGTAGGTAAAGATTCAGTTAAATCCTTGCTCACTGAATGCTTACTGTATGTCTTGTTGCAGTGACAACTCCAGAGAGCTCCAGAGCTGCCAAGGAGGTTTTAAGCTTTGCTTAATGAAAATCAGGAGTCGAGGCCAAGAGGAAAGATGTGCATTGAAACAGCAGCAATCATACCTTGGTGAGTAAAGTTTAAAGTGCAAGATGATCCTTAGCCCAAGAATCAACAGCTCCTAGTCAAAAGTGTTCCTCAGCCCTCCTCTTCCCAATATCAGTTGGAAAGAATGAAGCAGTTAAGAGAGTAGCATAGGGGGTGGCAACTCCTGAAATTGGACAGCTGACACCAGTCAGAAAGGGAGATGTAATGTTGTAATATGTGTGCCTTGTCTTGGATAGTTGAGCCAAGATTGTAGTAGAGTCACTAAATTAATTTCTTCAAATAAGCCTGTCATGTATTTTCACCCCCTAGGTTATATGGCTGACAGAACTTACCTGCTTTATTCAAGAAATTATTACCTGCTGTTACATCTTTTTGATTCATATGATTCCTTTGTCAACACTGTGTTTATGATGTAGGAGCCAGATCAAATTTTATTCTACTATCGTTGCGGTTTGGCACTATTTAACTTAAACTTTCTTTAACAATACCCCCCAAAGTAACAGAATGCAGTGGTATTCTTTGCTGTATTTTTGTTCCCTATATTTTCTTTGGCTGATTTATCGATAATATAGGACTGCAAATGATAAATAGAAAAGAATTAGACCAAACAGTCTTGGTCCTACCACGCTTGATAGTTTTCACTCTGGTTCAGCCAGTTGTCTGCAGAATTACTGCAGTCTTTGGAAAATAGTCTACCATATTGTGAAAGCCTTTCAAGACTTCTATGATTAAATTCAGGTTCCCTAAGTATAACCTGTGGCTATGCAGCTTAGGAGATCTCTGGCTTGCTTGCATTCCTGAGCTTTACTTACCACCTTTGCAATTTCATATCTAGTTAGCCCCCTTCCTCTTACTTTACTTTATAGTTGGAACTTTCCTCTGAGGTTTGAAGGTCTGCTTACTACTGTATCATGTCCCTTTTCCCATAAAATCTCAAGCTGGACGCACTTCCCAGAAGTATTAAGATACACAGCCACATATATATATATTTCAGTCATTCATCCTTAAAATTTGCTGTCAAAACTGTTTGTCTGCTGTTGGAACTCTGTGCTCATGTTTCCCTTTGTTCTGTGGGAGTTGCTAAGATTTCCCATTGAAATTTATTTTTCTCTTTTGTGCAGATTCACTGTGCAGTCCTGTCTCCCACAGTGTGGATGGCTTACAATGGAGACGATGGCAACCTGGCAGTGATACAGGAGCACATTGCTTGCAGCTGTAGTGAGATTTCACCCAGCATTCTGATGCAGAGTACTTTGCACTTCCAAATTAATCATGCTCCTCTCTGTTCTTGTTGCTTGGGTAAATATTTCACTCTTATGTAGACTTTGATGGTGATCTGTGTGAGAATCGAGGTTCTTAATTTCCTTCTTGTACATGCTTACCTACCAAGCAAGCTTTTGTGCCCAATGCCTTTTTCACACTTGATAAAATGAGTCTGTTTCCATCATGTAACATTGCTTCTTTGAATATCTGAATACAAGTGAAGAAATCCATGTCTATTGCCAAATGCCCTGGCTGAATGCCATCCCTGGTGTTCTGGCTTCATCCAGATGACGAATGTTCCCTGTCAGCCTGCAGCCTAGTGAGAGGGGACAATGGTACAGAAATCCTGTAATTATCTAATCAACTTTGCTTAGAATGTTAAGCAAATGGAATTCTTTAATACTCTGGCTTTACTATAGCTGTTAATTACCATGTGCAAATGCAATTTGTACAGCAAAACCGAGTAGAGGAAACGTTCACTTGTAAGTTACTTTACTCCCCTCTAGTGGTCTCATACCACACATACGTTTATGTAACACTTCATCACCATGTGTTTAAGGACAGTGTTAGTATTCTGTAAAACCAGAAGTCTTCTGGTAGCTTCTCATTCCTTCTGCTCCTCTTCTCTTTCTATAGAGAAACTTCTTCAGGGATTGGAATTCTTGCCAATGTATCTCTCTAAGTAAAATTGTTCTTTATATGTTGACTTTAATTGAAGTCCAAACTATACCCCCAGCTTTAAAATCCATACATGCAGAAAAATCTCAAAGCTATGTAGTAAACATTTATTTTATGTACCCTCTAAGGTGTTCACAGGGGCTGTTGGTGTCAATGTCATAGTGATTTAAACTGCATCTAGGGCTGTAGAAACACCAGCAGAACCCAGTCCTAACTGCAGTGCTGCTCTGTGTGGGTCCCGTGGCATGTGCCAGGTTTTGCTGTGTGTCTAACAGTTTTTGGGCCGTGGAAGCTGTGGGACATAAAGAGCCTGTCAGACGACTGGGTTCCTCCTTTAAACTTGCCAGTTGGCCATTTTGTGTACTATGCAGCTTTCATGAGGTGGAAAACAGGCAAGAACCTCCAGGATCAGAATGGAAACTTTTTCTTTTCCTGTATATCCCTGGTTCGTTGTTGAAGTTACTGATGTTGTAATCCAGGTGTGCAGCACAAGCTACATTTAGCAATAGTTAGTGGGTAAGTTCTTGTCTAACTTTTTCTTTGCTTCCTGGAGTCTGTATTTTAAACAGAAATGACTTGCTAATGTCCTTCGAGAAGATAGGGTAACTAGTAAGAGACTTATCATCTGTTTCTGCTTAGGCGGAGGGTATAAAGAAAAACATAGATAGAGGATTCACTTTTCAGAAGTTAGTTGTTCTTTTCAAACTTCCCACTAGAAATATTTCCATTTTCTTTTAGAATGCTTTGGACTAATATTTTGAAGAAAATAAAGGGGAATAAAAAGAGTGTAGGCTCAATAAAGAAAATGTTAACAATTTTCCATTTGAAAAAATGCAGTTCTCCTAAACTACTTTACAGAATTGTGTTTGTCTTCATATTTAGTTATGAGAGAAAAATGGAAGCATTCCAAGAATCAAAGCATTTTAACACTCTTGGATTGGACCCTTTTGTCTTAAAACGAGTCTTGGTTTGTAAACTTTTGCAGCTCTAAAAAGTCAAAATTGAAACAGTTTAGGAAATCCAAATCCGGTCTTTTTTCCACGTGATTTTTCTTTTGTGGAAAAATTAAGTATCTCAGTTTGATTCCAAACTGGAAGGAAACCAAATGTGAAAAGTAAAATCCTTCATAAAACG